GACCTGCTGAGTAAAAGATCTCATGGGTACAAACCGATCCTGACTAGTTTCGGATATACAGGGGGTTTTCTAATACTACTTAGGCAACCGAAGTACCTATATAAAGTGTACATAAAGCAAAAAAACTTGCATGTATTGCTTTAAAAGTTGTTTATTTCATCTTTCCTTAACTAAAAATGTTTAGTAAGTGTTCGTAACTCTTCGTTTATATACCAGGGGCGCTCAAAAACTATGGCTATTACTAAGCTAAATGACTTAATGACCAAAAATGTTCAAAAGTGTGAAAAATTGTGTACTTGTAGGTACTCAGGTACCTACGTTTTGTGATAAAAGTGACTTTCTAACCCAATGAATTCCAGTTCTCGCTACGCTTGTGCTAAAAACTTTTTGCCTCATGATCCCTTGGCCTAGGGTTTAAGTATTTAGTTATTAGGTATACATACACTTGGTGATTTGTTTGAAAAATCTAAACAGCCATGGAAAGAAAAGCAATGAAAATTGTTTTTTCATATGTCATATTTCACTTGGTAACAATGGAAACCAAAACAGTGACCCTGTCAATATAGCGAATTGTCTTTTTTGTCACCTTTCTTGTGAAAATGGCAATTCGGGAAAGGTAAGGTGCTACGTGACCTGACTTGTCTCTAACTCAAATAATGATTTTATTATTACACATAAATATACAAGAAGAAGTTTATTTGTTAAGGCCTAGTAGTTCTGCAAAGCCCAGCAAAATCACCAATTACCAAGTTGTAATCAGTTTTACAATGCATTAGGTGCAAATGGCATCTTGCGACCAATAAGCGGCATTGTTTATGTTTCAAAGTTGACAGTATCAAGTCAAAATCTTTTTTGGGAAAAAATACAGTATATAGTTTGTCATACTTCTATTTGTGTTTGTGTTAAAAACATACAAAGGCCCACCAAACAAGTACTTTTCAAAATACCCTCGTACATTCACATATAGGGTGTTCCGAAACTATTGTGCCAAAAATTAAAGGATGATAGATCGTGCCAAAATAAACGTTTTCTACTTATAAACAAATAGGCGCATGCGCTTTGGTTATGTGATAATAGAACATTACCATTACAGGTCGCGCTGTGGTAGCCACCTTACACACGGAGAAACGTGTTTGAAGTAGAAACTGTGTTATTAAATGATGCAAATCCCAAAGAATGCTTGCAGTATTTATAGTCTAGGAGGCAGTGACGATTTTCGGTACTTATTTTCCCAGTCAGACAACATGGATAGAATTGTAGGGTTAGTAATTCTAAGCAAAATACATATATTTTTAGGGGGGGTTTTCCGATGGGTTGAGGCGCAAAATGCGTTAAAGCTTACGAATGCACGGCCCTTTTTTTTCTTAGTGATAAAAATAGGTCTACTTATGAGAAGTATATTGAAGTTACGTAAAAAAATAGTTCGGCTAATTAGTGAGTATGGATAATATGTCTGGCAAGTGAAAAATTGAAAATCCGAAAATTTTCAGCCAGACTCACTATCACTATCTGAGATAAGCCAAACTGATATTTTCATATACTTTATGTTCTATTGTAGTAAATGTGAAATATTTATGTCTGGGAAAATAAGCCTACTTGTATTTTTCATTGATTTTGTGAACCCATCCGAAAATTTTAGCCAGACTCAAAAATTCTTGCTTTGTATCACCAGGAGAACAAAGTATTTAATAGACACCAACTGGGAAAATAAGTGCTAAAAAATTTCACTGCCTCCTGGACTATTACTAAAAACAATGATTCACAGCAAAAGATGCTCAAAGCTACGACCACCCACCTCCATACGTGCGTGACAGCGCCGTAGCATAGCTTCCTGAACACATTGAAACATTCATGGTGTTTCGAGAATTTCAGCAGCTGCTGCAACAATCCTTCCTACAAACTTCTTCTAGCTGTTTCAACTGGAGTGTCGTAAACAAGAGCTTTCATATGACCACATTAAAAAAAGTCGCATTCCGTCAGGTCTGGTGAACGTGGAGTCCATGCCCCCTTAACAATTACTCTTTCCAGATGTTTCGTTGAGATGTTCTCTTAAGACTAACAAGTAATGTGGTGGTGGTCTGTCGTGTTGGTATTCTATGTTTTGTCTGGCATATAGGAAAACAGATCCGGGAAAGGTTTCCTGCAGAAATCTACTTGATATTGTCAACTAGCTGCTTAGAAAAGGAGGACCCGGTATTCAACCTTATTAATTTAATTGCCGATTCGGTCGGATGTTTACTGCAATTCAGCAATAAATTGATATAAATTGCGCTGCAAGCCGTAGCAAAGGCAGACTTAAACCAGTGCAAGTACCTCTCGTTGGAAAAGCCCCGCTGGAATTAAGTCTCCCCAGTGCAAGTACCTCTCGTTGGGAAAGCCCCTCTGGGTATCTTCAGCCTTATCGTTGTCCAGTGCAATTACCTCTCGTTGGGAACGCCCCTCTGGACAAGACATAAAGGTGACGATAAACTAATCTACAGTCTCCCAAGCAGCGTTGACGCGTGGCTCCCTATAAGGACCCCAGTGTTCGAAGGGTTATACATCTTATAGGATTAGCGTACATGTAAGGGCATATTTGGGAAAATATATATCTATATTTTTATATAACCTGAGCGAGTTTCTCTCCATCAAACCCCAAAGCTATAAACCCCCCATTTCACCCCCGTAAAGCGGGCAGTTGTGACAATATTTCTGCAACAACGCTGTTACACATGCATTGAGGCGGGTGTTCATAGTTTTGAGCATCTTTTGATGTGAATCATTATTTTAAATAAATACTGCAAGCATTCTTTGGGTTCTGTATTATTTAATAACACAGGTTCTGCTTATTCAAACACGTTTCTCCGTGTGCAAGGTGACTACCACAGTGCGGACTGTAATGTGCTATTATCACCTAACCAAAGCGCAATGCGCCTATGGATTTATGAGTAAAAAACGTTTATTTTGGCGAAATCTATCATTCCTCAATTTTTGGCACAATAGTTTCGGAACACGCTGTATAGGCACCTAATTAAAAACATGCACCTTTCTGTAAAAGGTCTAAACCTAATCAACATTTCTTGAAGCTACCTACCACAAATAAACGACGCAAAAAGCATGAAAATTTATTATTTTCAGGTTGCCTGAGGTAGTATTAGAAAAAACCCCGTATATCCGAAACGAGTCATAGGATCGGTTTGTACCCATGCGAACTTTTACTCAGGAGGTCGAAATATACAACATACCAAAATTTGGTTAAATTCCGCGTTCAACCAAAATCCCATAAGTGTGCCTTTGTATTTTGGAAACCATAATACCAAATTAATGAAGCAAAATTTGATAAATAGTTTTTTAAATCTTATTGCTTAAAGAAGATTAGGATAAAAAAAGGACGGTATATAAATGGAGTACTACAGAACTCGGCCCTTCTACTCACAAAAATATTACAAAAGATGCTCCTTTGAATCTATTAATTTGATGAAGACAATATTTTATGAATGGTATATTTCCAATATACTCTATTTGATCTTATTGTACATATTAGCTTTGCTTTGCCAAATATACAGAACATGATTTTATGAACGGTTTCATTCATCAAAAATCCTGTAAAGATTCAATAGTTTTATGCAAGAATGCAACTTGATAAACTACTGACTAAGCATGCGATAGCATTATAAGGCTTAAGGCACGTAAAGTTAATTTGCAACGTTGCAACAGCTACTTTTAAATAGGTTCTGACGAGCAGTAAGAAAATGTACTGTACATACATCCCCGAGAACTAAACAGGGGCTTATATTTGACTTTCCCTGTATTTTTGAGATAATTCAAAATAGCCAATTGGAATACATATTTTTTTTCAGTAGAAAAATGGTAGGTATCAAAAAATCATTTGAACCAAAAACCAAAGAGTTACGCCATCGATGAACTGTTTTTTCTCGTGTTTTTTAAATGAAAAACCCTGTTTTTTTGTATGAATTTTGGAATTTTCCACACAAAAAAAATTCCCATTGGCTATTTTGGAATTTCTCGAAAATACAGGGAAAGTCAAAAAAATATCCCTGTCAGTCCTCATTGGATGACCCAAATGGCTGGACTATGTCTTGGAGCCACTTCAACAATAATAATTGTTTTCGTCAACCGATAAAAAAAAGTTGATACTGACTGACAATGTCACTAAAGGACTAAAGGTTGAATGGTTGAATCCAATAATCAAAGATCAATTTATAAAGATTGACCATGGATGCCGAGCCAACCTATATATAAATCCCACATCGAAAGTACCAGGAACCTAAAAACCAAGATGGTGATGATAAAAGGCATAGCTAGACCATAGTAAATCTATGATTTGGCTAAAAAAAAATTGGATCTAAGAAAAATTATCATCTACGAGTCTGCGGAAGAGGCCAAAAAACACAGAATGCTATCGAGAAGCCAAAGAATCAATTGGTTATTATTGGCTAACAACTCAACAAGTAACCCAACAATTTAATTTTTCAGGTTCTTCCGTATCGACCTTCGCATAATAATATAGGATTTGTGGGGTTGTAGTTGAGAGTTAAACTAGAAAAAAATGCCCCCAAAAAACTTAAATTAACGGGTGCGAGCATTTTTTAATTTATTTCTCCAAAAATCATAAGTTCTGGTCGCTTTGTATTTTATGTAAGTGTATCGGAAAAGGATATCGATGTATGTATTTAAAATGAAATTTTAAAACCCTAAAAAAATAAATAAAACACTTATTTTGAGGATTATATCATACATTTTCTATTTTGATGTTGTATCTCTACTAAAAGTACATGTTGAATTGAATAATTCCCCGATCATTAAGAAAATTCTCGGGGAAGTACCATATCTACTACCGAAACATTTCGCATTTTGCCATAGATGCCACCTCCAAATAAATACGGAGAAGCTCTCTGAAATACACGCCCACAATTATTTTACATATTTAGATGATTTAGCATGGTTCAAAAGAGCAAATCTGGAAATAAATTCAAATTATCATCGTATTTTGATTCTGATAATAATATGCTCTAGACTAGAGGAAAATCGCAAGTGAATACCTATAAGGATTTTTCCATCTGGCAACAATGGGTAGCAATGCAATGGTAGGTATATTATCTCACATTAGTCATAATCAGAATCAGTATGAAAACGAGAATTGTTCGTTAAGCTAATGGAAAATACGAACAATAAACTTAGTTTTCTCGGTGCTTCCTGAGCAGTGCAAAATGGGAATTTGTTGTTCTAGTTATTGTACCGAAAGAGGAAGTTTCATCGACGATACAAATTCTTTTAGTTCTAGTGCTCCAGTTTTACCGGTAGTTTCAGAAACTACAGTAAGTATTAGGTTTTGGTGAAAATTGCCATAATAATAGACCGAGAGATAGTGACTAGATTTTCGGACGCGATTTTAGCCTGTATGCCTTTTGGAGGGTATTATGGTATACCTACATATTGTGTTTTTAATGAATTATAAAGTAGACAGGCATCCCAGGTAATTATTTAACATTTGTTTACAAATTAAGCGTTCTGATAAAATTTTACTGCTATCGCCTTTTGCTCGAATTTTATTGTGGATTCATGGCAGCCTGGGTGAAATTGTTAATCAATTTCAATACAGGGTGTTCATTTTAAAACTTACCACCCCTATTATCTCGGAGTTGACAAATTTTCGAAAAAAATCCCTGATAAAACACGTCAACTATAATTTGAAGGGGGATGAGTTTTTATGCAAAAGTCCCCCTTTCAACCCCCCAGCTCCCAGAGCCACCACTAGAAAATCTTAAATGGGAAAGGGGGTCAAGTGATACTTACATCTTCTTCTTCAGCCTAATGCCATCCACTCCTGAATGAGAGCTTCTTCCAATTGTTTTCATGCTCCTCTATTCTGTACTGTTTTCACCCAGTTTTTGCCTGCGATTTTTACGATGTCATCCCGCCACCTTTTTGGGGTCTTCCAGTACTTCGCCTAGTTTGCCAGGGTCTCCATTTTATGACTTTATTTGTCCACCGGTTCGCTTCTTGTGACACGTGACCAGCCCATCTCAACTTCAGTTGAGCTATGCGTTGTGTGACATCAATAACTTTCGTTCTTCTTCGTATTTCCTCGTTTCTAACCCGGTCCCTCAAGCTACCATGCCTCTTTCCATTGCTCTCTGTGTGGTTCTGAGCCTATTAAAGCTTCTGACAGTTACTGCCACAGTTTCGAGACCTTTCGTTGTTACTGGTAGAACACGTTTCGTAAACTTTTCATTTGAGGTGTTGGAAAATATCATAGTTTTTAAGGACTAGGCTATTGACTATGTCGAAAAATACGGGGGTAAAAGGAACTCGTTAGTGGAATTTTATTGTTCAATATGTTCAATTGGCCCCTAAAGATGATAAAACCACGGAGTGCTACCAGATATAGGGGGGGTGCATTTTTAAGAGCGGGGTGAGTTTGTCAGCTTTTTGGGTAGTACTTCACCTCTTGTATTCCTATTACCTAAACCAAATATGCCTATATTCGAAGGGTTATCTGTCAATTTTTGACCGATCTTTGCGTTTAGGTCTCCCATGACTATAAGGAATTTTGCATTTTCTGCTCTTTGTGTATTGGTGATACCTTCGTATAGTTGTTCTATTTCTTCGTGCTCTAAAGAAAGAGTTGGCGCATAGCATTGGATCACTTGCAACTTAGACGTGATACACCATCACCATCACTGTAAATCACATACACTCGATCCGCTCTCTCATTGAAGTTTGACTCTGGAATGGTACGGCTTAATTTGAATCTGAACATTTTCGACCTAAGTGAGTTGTTAAAGTGATAAATTTATCAGTGCTCATAAAATCCATTCTTGAAGACACACAATCACTTGACCCATTTAAAATTTTCTAAGGCGTGGCTCTATGGCCTGAGTCCTTATTCTTGAAATAGGGGAGTAGCGCTCCCAGAAGAACGAGTGTTCTGTCTTTCTCGATGATAGGCGAATGATAATATAAGTAACAAAGACGGAACACTTGTTCTTGTTAATTGGTCAAAATCCGTGTACAAGTTGGTCAAAATCCCAGAAAATCTCATAAGATCTACTCAAAATCCCTAAAACCTTAAAAATTTAACAAAATCCCACAAAATCTGTTGATATTGTATAAAATCCTACAAAATCCAACAAAATTTCATTAAAACCAAAAAAATCCTGCAAAATATCATAAAATCATTGACATTTCTAAAAAAATATTTCCTTTGAAACTCCCAAAAATCCTTTTGAATCCCCAAAAATCTGTTAAAGTCTCTCAGAATTCCATAATTTAGTGCAATTTCGAGGAATTTCGGTAGAATTATGTTATTCTGAAAAAAGAATTACATGTGAAATTTTCTTGGAGTTTCCATAGAATTCACATTAAATTTTAGTTCCTCTCGAATTACATGAAATTTCAATGAAATTCCGATTGAATTACACGAAATTCTAAATGGGCATGATGGGGGAATTCTAAACAAATATATGAAATTATACCGAAATTCCCAACATAAAATTTCAGTTCTTACTGAATTTAAGTAAAATTCCAGAAAATTCCGTGGAATACCGAGGAATTTCCGGCTAAAAACATGGAATTTCGGTGATATTCCGAAAAATTCCTATACAATAATGACAATATATTTCGGTGAATTTTCGAGAAATTATTTGGTTTCATTAATATTCCCAAAAATTCCAGGCTATTAAAAGAGAATTTCAGTGAAATTCAAAAAAATTCTTATGAAAATAAATTGAAAAATTTCTTGGAAGTTTCATTGCCCTTTTTGGCTAACGTGGAATTTTAAAATATTCTCATAAAAATTTCCGAGTTCCGAGGAGTTTTTAAGAAATTACATGAAATGTCAATGAAATTCCGAAGAATTTTATGAAAATTTTGTGGAATTCCAGGATATTTCAATGGTGAAATTTTGGGGAATTTTAGTAATGTAAAAAAAAAAATCATAGAATTTTGAAATTAAAATTTTAGTGGAATTCCGAGGAATTTCATGAAATTTCATAATGTAATTCCCAGGAATTTTTGTTCAAGAATTCCGGTGAATTTTATTGTGAAATTCCATGAAATCTTTTGATGAAATTTGGAAAAATATTATGAAATCTTATAGTAAAATTTATAAGAATTTCCGTTTTTCCATTCAAATTGGAATTTCGAGGAATTCCATAAAATCTTCTGGTGAAATTCTAGGGAATTTCTATGAAATTAACTAAAATTTTCACGGAATTCCCATGGAATAACTTGAAATTTTAATGGCATTCCGTATTATGAAATCTTATAGTAAAATTTCTAGGAATTTACGTTTTTCCATTCAAATTTATCACTTGAATGGAATTTCGAGGAATTCCATAAAATCTTCTGGTGAAATTCTAAGGAATTGACTGAAATTTTCGTGGAATTCCTATAGAATAACTCTAAATTTTAGTGGAATTCCGAAGAATTTTATGAAATCTTATATTGTAATTCCGAAGAAAAAATGTGACATATGAAATATTTGCGGAATTTCTATAAAATTTACATTAAAATTTAGTTCCTACATGAAATTTCGAGAAATTACATCAAATTTCAGTAGAATTAGGATCGCATTACATGAATAATCCTGAATGAGTTGCATGGAGGAATTCCAATTACATTGAATTACACCGAAATTCCCAACATGAAATTTCAGTACTCGTTAAATTACATGAGGAATTTTGGTTGAATTATATGGAGCTCCGATGCAATTACATGGAATTCTAAGGAATTGTCAGGGAACTACAATGAAATTTAAGTGGAATTTTGAACTCTTATCGTTTCATAAGGAATTCCAATGAAATTCCGAAAAATGCTAATTTAATTACATGAAGTTTTATTTTCATTCCAAGGAATTCCCAGTTAAAAACATGGCGTTTTAGTGGAATTGAAATTTCGAAAAATTCCCATCGAATTACTGAATTTTAGTAAAATTAGAGAAAATTTCACAAGTGGAATTCCGTCTGTAATGATATGAAATTTCAATATATTTCGGAGAAATTTCGGTGAATTTTCATGAAATTACTTGAAGTTTCATTAATATTCCCAGAAATTCCTGACAATAGAAATAGAATTTCAGTGAAATTCCGAAAAATTCTTATGGAAATAAATGGAATTTTGAAAGAAAATTTTGAAGTTGTATTGGAATTTCGAGAAATTTTCGACTAATAACGTGGAATTTTAGTAAAATTTGAAAAAATCCTCATAAAATTTTGGGGAATTTCAGTAAAGTTTTAAAAAAATTATGTAATTTGGAATTTCTATAGAATTTTGAAGAATTTCAGTGGAATTTCGAAAAAAAAAAAAAAAAAAAATGAAATATTCGCAGAATTTCCATCAAATTATATATAATTTCATTTTGTGTCGACTTACATAAAATTTCTATGAAATTTCGAGTAAAATTCCAAGGAATTCTCGTCAAATTACATACATGGAATTCCTTGAAATCTTATTGTGGAATTCCAGTGAAACTACATGGAATCCGAAGAATTCCCTTGGAATTGAACAGAATTTCCGTGGAATTTCCATGGAATCACGAGAAATTTCGAAGGAATTCCGAAGAATTGAAATAAATTTTAGTAAAATTCTGAGTAAATTCTGTCGAATTACATAAAATTTAAGTGGAATTCCGAGAAATTTCATGAAATCTTTTACTGCAATTCCAAGGAATTTTTGTACAAGATCATGGTGGAATTCTATGGAATCTTATGGTGAAATTCGGAAACGTATTTTTTATGCGATTGACAAGAAATATCAGCAGTTTTGATCGGTTGACAGGTGGCAAAACTCAATATTCTGGTATTTTGATTATGTTTCAATAGTTGCTAAGGAATCAATGAATAACAAAATGAAATCTTATGGTAAAATTTCTAGGACTTTCTATTTTTCTATTCAAATTTGTCACTTGAATGAAATTTCGGAGAGCTCCATAAAATCTTCTAGTGAAATTCTAAGGAATTTCTATGGAATTAACAAAATTTTCGCAGAATTCCCATGGAATAACTTGAAATTTTAGTGGAATGCTGAATAATTTCATGAAAGTAGTGTAATTCTGAGGAATTTTTGTCTAAGAATTCCATTGAATTTTATGGTGGAATTCCATAGAATCATATGATGAAATTCGGAAAAGTACATATTATGAAATCCTTTAGTAAAATGTCTAGGAATTTCCGTTTTTCCATTCAAATTTGTCATTTGAATTTAGAATCTCTATAAACTTTTCAAAAACCGCTAATATGCTCCAGAATCACCTAAAATTTTGAAAATCTAAAATCTTCTGAACTTCTGTAAAATCGTGTAAAGATTTTCAAAATTCCCGAAATTCATTATTTTATAAAGTTAACTAAACCTCGGAACAGTTGATTGGTCAAAATCTGTGTATGTAGGGTGGGCCAATTTGGACACTTCTTTATGGAAACACCCTTTATTTTTAGAGATAGAAAAAAGTTAACCCCCCACTCTGAGGCTCAAATTTCATGAAATTTTGATTGGTGCTAACCGCTTTTTGAAATCTTCAACCGTTTAGCCGCTAGAGGGCGATTCTCGATTTTGAGCAATATTGTGAACCCTTCATAACTTTTTTGTTTATGAAAATAATTGATTTCCGTAAAAACTTTCTGGAAGCACTTTTTGAAACAGAATTCAGGGACGTTCTCAGTTTTTTTCCATTTGGCGCCGACTTTGAGATATTGACCAAAGTCTGATTTTTTTCAATGGGACACCCTTTATATTAATAGCTCATTGCAAAGCTATGATTTTTCCGATTTTAATGATATAAAGTTCGATAGGTTTATCTCTAACCGTTTTCGAGAAAAAAAATAATTTCGGTTTTTCTCATAAGAAGCAATGTGTTAGAAAAGGACTTTATATCTGTAAGGAAAATGAAAAAGGTCTTTTTCTAATACATTGTTTCTTATGACAAAAACCAAAATATTTTTTTTTCTCGAAAACGGTTAGAGATAAACCTATCGAACTCTATATCATTAAAATCAGAAAAATCATAGCCTTGCAATGAGCTATTAATATAAAGGGTGTCCCATTGAAAAAAATCAGACTTTGGTCAATATCTCAAAATCGGCGCCAAATAGAAAAAAACTAAGAACATCACTGAATTCTCCTTAAAAAAGTGCTTCTAGAAAGTTTTAACGGAAATCAATTATTTTCATAAACAAAAAAGTTATGAAGGATTCACAATATTGCTCAAAATCGAGAATCGCCCTCTAGCGGCTAAACGGTTGAAGATATCAAAAAGCGGTTTGCACCAATCAAAATTTCATGAAATTTGAGTCTCAGAGTGGGGGGTTAATTTTTTTCTATCTCTAAAAATAAAGGGTGTTTCCATAAGAAAGTGTCCAAATTGGCCCACTCTGTACAAGTCCAGAAAAACTTGTAAGATATATTTAAAATCCCTGAAAAACTTTTAAAATTTTATTTCCTATTGAACTATTATAACCATATAATACCTTGGTTACGATAATCATAAACAGGGTCTTAACTCCCAAGGGAGTTAAGGATTTCATAACTCCCGCGCGGGAGTTAAGGATATCATAACTCCCAAGGGAGTTAAGGATTTCCATGACTCCCGCTTTTACCTTGAATAGGTGAAACTTTGACAAAAAATAGAAATTTTGGTTTATGGTTTATTTCTTTATAATAATGGACAAAATACAGTAAATTCAGTAGGAAATAAAATTATCTATTTACCACGGGAATTATCAGGTGTTAATACCCACGGGCACAAACTTTGCCCTGGGGTATTAACACCCTCATAATTCCCTTGATACATAAATAACTATTATAAGATTTTGCCAGAATTTTTTTGTTATAATAAAATTTTGTGTGATTTTGTGTAATTTTATGCGATTTCAAGTGATTTTTAAGGGATTTTGTGAGGTTTTGTTAAATCATTAATATGTATTCCTAAAAAAAATTCCTTCAAAATTTCCAAAAATCCTTTGGAATCCTCAAAAATGCGTTAATTCTTCTAAAAATCCTTTAGAATCTCTAATGACCGTCTCCATACCAACTATTTTAGGGAAGCTTCAACAATAAGTATTTCTTCAAATGACAGTCATCTATGGAGAAATGTCAGTTAAAAAAAAATATATCGTTAAGACTCCATTAAATTAGCTGGTGAAAATGTGAAAACGCCATTAAAACCCTTTCTAAATTCCCTAAAATGATCCAAAATCACCTAAAATCTTATAAATCTAAAATCTTTTAAAATCCTGTAAGAAAAACTCGTAAAATCTACTAAAAATCCCTGAAAATCTTCAAAACCTTCAAAAATCTAACAAAATTTTATTAGAACAAAAAAAAATCCGGCAAAATCCTATAAAATTCCTGATAAAAAAAATTCCTCTAACATTTCCAAAAATCCTTTGGGATCCCCAAAAATCCGTTAAAATCTCTAAAAATCCTTTAGGATCTCTAAAAACCCTTCTAACTTCACTAAAATGCCCTAAAATCACCTAAAATCTTTTCAAATCCTGTAAAATCATATAAAGATTTCCAAAATTTTCAAAATCCTACAAAATCAATGAAGATTTAAAATCTGTGTACATATTTTAAGCAGTTAACCACCCCTCGGCTGCTCCCCTGTTTCAAGAATAAGGCCTCTGGGGGATTGAAAAAGGGAGGTGAATTTTGCATAAAAACTCATCCCATTTTAAATTATAGTTGCCGTGTTTCAGGGATTTTTCCGAATATTTTTCAACTCCGAGATAATAGGGATGTTATTGTTATATGTTATATATTGTCTACTTTATCATTTATTAATAACAGAATATGTATACCATAACACCTTCCAAAAGGCATACTGGGCTAAAATCACGTCCGAAAATCTGTAACTATCTCTCGGTTCTCGGTCTATAACTTAATGTTTTTTGAAGAGATTTTATGAAGAGTATCAAGAAAATTTGAGAAAAACGCGACTGAATTCATGGTCTACCACTAGAAAGAGTGACCAGAGCAATTTTGTATTGCCTAACAACTTAAATAGAGCTCCACAAACGTTAATAAACCAACCAATGACTACACCAGGAGCTACATCAACAAGAAATCTGGATACAAATTTTAACACAAGTAACTTAGAAGTATCTTCATTGAACAAAACAGAGAATCTGATATCATATAATGAAAATAATTTACAAATCAAGTCCGACAACTGGCAACTATGGGAATGGAAACAAGAACCTCAAACATTGTTTGAAATAGAAAATCTAGAGATATCGGAAAAAGATGAACAAACCGATTTTTCTCAAACCCCAAACGGTCCAAAACTATTTGAAAATGAAAATCTGCAACCAGAAACAAAAAAGCGAAAGCAAACCTTTTTAGAGCCCTTAGACAGTCCGAAACTATTTGAAATAGAAAATATAGAGACATCGGAAAAAGATGAACAACCAAATTTCTCTCAAACCCCAAACAGTCCAGAATTATTTGAAAATAAAAATCCGGAAACAGAAACAAAACATCAAGAACAAACCTTCCTTAAGCCCTCAGACAGTCCGAAATTATTTGAAATAGAAAATATAGAGGCAGATACAAACAAGGAAAAACAAACACGCTTCCTCGAAGGGTTAATAAATAGTCCAAGATCAGAATCAATTGAAAGTGAAAATCTTGAGTCCGAAACGACTGAGCTAAAACAAACTGATTTCATTGAGCGTTTAACCAAACAAAAAGTTGTGAGAAATTTAGAATTAATCAATGATTTGAGAGCCGCATTTAATCTAAATCATTTGGAAACGTTTCCAGAGAACCCGTACCAAGAAGAACAATTAGATGCAATAAAATACATTGAAGTGGCGAATATTTTTACAATGACCAATAAACCATATTTTACCATCACAAAAATAACCGCGATAAATAATATTTTTCTTGAATTGCACTTCAAGTTGAACACGGAGATTTACAAGAAAAGAAATCCAGAATTATTAGTAAACGATAAATTTTTATTCCATGGAACAAAACTGGAATTTTTAAAAAGGATTTGTACATACAATTTTGACAGAGCCAAAGTGAGTGCATTTACTCACATTATTTGATTATAGTTTGAATATTATATTTTTCCAGGTTTGTACCCATAAATTCGGTCATGGAGTATCATTCGCTGTACAGTCTTCTTATGCCACTCACTACCACCACGATAATAAGCGTAAATATGAAAAAGTGATGATTATTGCAAAAGCCCTTCTAGAGGAAACGTTGCCGCTCGGAACTCTCAATACCGTCGTACCGCCAGAACCTTTCTACACGTCTAGAAATATAGATGCGTCTGTTATTGTGAAGTACGATGATGCTTCGTTCTACCCTTTGTATATTGTTTATTATTCAGGTCTGCATCCGAAAAAAAATTATCCGCACAAGCGACCTTGTAGATTTTATTGATTAATGATTTTTTGTCATATGCCCTATATACCTATATCACCTAATTCAAAACAGCCCTAGAGTTGTTTTCACTCTATGACATTGATAAATGCTCGAAAATTGTATAACAACTTTCTCAAGCTTGTCGCTTGTAAGAAACAAGCTTTCGAAATTTGTTATAAATTTTTTTCGAACAATTATCAATGTCCTTAGGTTATGACACATTGTTTCAAATTGTTTTCAGTCAAATCATGCTATGACGCTAGTAATAAAAAAAAAAACACAATGTCTTACAACAGTATTATTATTCGTTGACATTTATGTTTATAATTATTTAAGATATTTACGGACGGGTATTTTTTTTGGGAATTTTAAGTAATAATCAAGAAAAAAAAATTGTTTGACGTATTCATTTGACGGATGATTTTGGAATATTTTATATTTTATTGTTTTTAAACCCATACTGTATTATTTCATCATATGTTTTTTGAGTTACAATAAAAATGAAATTTTAAAACTTGTCACAAAGTTTTTCTATTAAAACTACGAATTATAAAATTGCGCTCATTGCATGTTAAAGAAATCTCGTTTAAAGAACGGCAAGTAAAACAACAATTTATTAAAGAAAAATTCAGAAACCATTAACAAATTTCCCAAGTTTGAAAAACTTCATGGACAATCCAATTTTCATTCTTGGAAGCCTATGGCACATGCATACATGGACCTGAATATTTTATTTCAGATTGCCTCAGGTGAGTAAACTAATCCTTAAAAAGGAGGACCTCCTGAAAATGCTGCAAAATTGAAGGAATACAAGGAAAAGTGTGTTACAGAATTTTTCTTACAAGAGCCATTCATTTTGTTTAATGTAGATCCGGTGCTTGTACCTCGAATAACTTGTTTCCCAGATGCAGCATGTATGTGGAAAGCAGTAAATGATAATATTTGACAAAAAATGTGGGGACTCTTTTATTTCCTGAATACATTACCAGAGATATAACGAACTGTGAGCTAGGTTGGTAGAAAGAACCTCAGTTTTTGAAAGTAAAGACTCATTGGAGGCCGCTCTACGCTACATCCTCTAGTAACCCCAACAAAAGCCAAATGATCATTTTTTCTCACTACTCTACCTTGCGAGATAAACAACATTACAGATAGCTTTAAAGCCAATATACATTGCCCACTTGCACCGTTTTGTCTAACTGATCAGTTTAATTAACGGACAAGTTAAAATTTAAGAGCAGATTAATTTCTAAAGCCTTGCACCGTGATTTTTCAGGTAAGGCTCAAAATTTAACCAAGGGATCTAGGGAATTTCACTAAAAATCGGGAACATTGGTACTAGTCATAGAGTACAAGTTAACTTCATACTCATTTCTGACGCAAATATTTTGACGTTAATGGTAGCAATTAGGTTTCTTTCAATATTCCTTTCAATTTTTCCATTTTTTATTATAGGGACCGGTCACAAATTGAAATTCGCGACCCCTAGTGAGAGATGTCAAAAGTTTTTGTATTAATAGTTTGTCAAATTTTCACTAGAATTTCCAAAAATGGAGCTGGAAATACATTTTGGTTTCCAAAATATAAAATTTAATCACCACGAAGTTGCATACAAAAAAGGTGTGGCTCTAGTAAAAGCTGAACGTATCGGGTCTTCAAAAAAAAAACCAATCGAAGATTGCTTTGATTACGAAAACGTACCTACGTCGCATTACTGTTTCTTTATTGGTCAGAATTTTTGACATCACATTTTGACATTAAATAGACCGATCTCCTATTACCTGGACTGCGCGCGTCGGTTGTAGGCTGCAGGTGAGCGTCCAATGAGAAGCAAGTTTATGACAGGCTTGCGTCATATTCTTATTCAGGAGCCAGTTCAGAATGAATCGTTCCTTCTTTCTTTGTAACGTGTAATTTGACAAAGAGCAAACTAATACTTTACATATTACTTGAACTCACCGCAGTTTCGTTTAAGGTTATGTTAGATTATACTTGACATATTCCTTTGCAATTTCATTGAGCGATGTTGCCGGATGAAACATTTATCAAAATAAAAGTGCAAACGATGTTTATCCACTTCAAAGCTCTTCTTTTGTCTGATTTAAGGCGTTGTGAAACACTTGAGACTATATTACTTCTTTAGTGTTATAATGTTCGATTTGTATTGTCTAGATTTGTTCTGCAACAATACAATCTGGCTACACTGCAGCCTACGAGTTGCGCGCGCATGTCATCTTTTATTGTTTTCTAACTTGTATTTATTACAATGAAGCTCTCTTTTTCTAATCATGGGAGATAGGTCTATTTCATTGACAAAATTAAAGACAAATATTGCTAAGACATACGTTTAGAAAACCATAGCAATCTTTGATTGTTTTTTTTTTTGAAGACCCGATATATTGCAAGTAGTTGAACAAAAAGTTGGAGAAGACTTATCCATTTTGAAATGGCATGTTATACGCCAAACCTCCATAAACAGCTCTCCTTATGCTATTGAGCTACAGGTAGGTATAACAATAAAATGGACGCTACAAATCCTCGACTGTCTTTCTGGCTCCCACATTTTACTATCTTTTGAATTGGATCTTAAAACGATGAAGTGTAAAGTAACTACAGGCTTTTTTTTACCCATGATAGATTTTGACATCTTCAACTTTGAATGAATTATAAACAATGCCGCTTATTGGTCGCATCATGCCATTTGCACTGGTAGCAAATTCCATTTGTCGAACCAGTGCAAAAAAAAGTATCCTTATCCTTACATGTTACATGCTTTTAGAAAAAGATGCGGATACACTCACTGCGCACTGACTGGCAAATGGAAATCACCATGATGTCAACCTGCAGGGACACCTCATTTTGCGACCAATCAGGGCCAAGAGGTATTGTTTATGTTTCAAAGTTTACAATGTCAAAATGTATTTTATGAAAAAATAGACCATAAATCAATACGAAAACTCAGTGTATAGCTCCTGTGTCTTTCCTGATCATGCGACCGACTACGAAAACTGTAGAAGTGAAAATTTCCACTTGTGTTGGCATAATTGTTGCCACAGTTAACAACACAATAATTTGTGAAACTGTTCCTGGATAAAGGCATGACAAGTAGTGGGTATGCACAATAGCCTGAATCAATGATAATAAAAAGTGTTTGGCAAATAATAATTACAAGAAAAAAAGTGAAATTAAATACAATTGTTTCGTTTGAACAACCATACCTTTATAATGAAAAATATTTCGCTTTGAAATCGTTTTTAATAACAAAAATTACATTTGTGTAAATGGAATCAAGCACTTGTCATAATACAAGAACTTACATTGCTGTCAAAAGAGGGCGCTACTGTAGTTTATGGACGGACTCTATACAGGAGAAGGGAGAAAAGGGTCGATCCTCAAACTTTTCGGAGAATGAAATTTTATCAATATACTAACAGATACAAAGGTACCATCTAAAATAAAGAGACAGATAAGGCGACAAATCAAGAAAAAATTGCTGCATGGGACAAAATTACCAAAGAATTTGATTCCGCTTCCCCTGTGACAAGCTACTGGTCGAAGGAGTGCTTTAAAAAAGGTTCTCTAAGGTTCTATCCAAACGCCAAAGTCTATAGTTCTAGTGACTTTAGGTCCCAACTTCTATAATAATAATAATAATTTCGCAGGCATTTCACTTTTTTTTTTGGTGGATTTACGTTTCCGAGGATCTTCTCTTTGAGATTTGGCGAGCGGAGCGATCAATCGGAGACTCAAAAATAATTAAAAACAAGAAGGTGCTATATTTGCAAATGGTTTTTCACGTTTTTGGTGGATTTACATTTCCGAGAATCTTCTCTTTGAGGTTTAGCGAAATTTCAAGATCCCATAACTTATTGGAGCTTGTAGGTACTTGTGTTCGTACCAACCACGTTGAAGGTTATTGGTCGTCATTCAAGGAATACCTTTGGTACTTTATGGAGGTTAGGGGTAATGCAGTCACTCTTTCTTGTGGATTAAATCGACCATTTTATGTGGTTTCAAATTTATGGAATACCTGCCAAAGCAAAGGCATATCACTGGGAAATTCATCTTTGATACACAGCTAATAGCGACCGATAGTAGAGTAGGTAGTCGTCAATTTTGAATATAATTTTCTGATGGAAATTTATATTTTATTTATAGCCTAAACGTTTCTATTTGATTTGAATCTTTCTCAAAAAAAATAAAAATACCGTTTTTATTTGGACCTATACCAAAGTCATTAGACCCAAAAATCGTTAACTGTGATTTTAAGCCACCGAAATTGGGGGTTTATTTTAACAGTAGTTTAGAGGTACTTAAAAAAAGATTAACTTGCGGTGCAAGTCAGTTACAAAAAATAAACGTTTGTTAAAATTTAAACCGCTGTTCAACTTACGGTGCAAGTGGGCATAAGCGCGCGGTGGTCCATCATATCTCCTATACTAACGGAGATCGGAGAAAAAATCAAATACAAAACTTGTAGATAAACATGAGTACTACATTCCTAAATTATTTTTCAGAATACAGGGTTGCCCAATAACTAGTAGTTTTTTTTAATGACTCTCCCTGTATATTATGACATTTCGGGATTCTGCGGAAAATTCTAGACATATTTCATGTATAATGGCATATACCTATCTTCAACTGTTTCGGAAATATTGACAGTTGAAAATTGACTTTTTTTCATCTTTGACAGACTGTGAAACCTAAACGATTAATTTAAAAAAAAAAAACGGATTTTACATTCCTATCTTAGATTTTCATAAGCTATCATTTGGCACCAACTTTGAATTTAACCGAAGATAAATAATTTAGGCGGAATTTTTAATCATGGATTAAATTCAAGAATGGTGCCAAATGATAGTTTATGAAAAACTAAGATAGGAATGTAAAATCTGTTTTCTTGTCAAATTAACCGTTCAGGTCTTACAGTCTGTCAAAGATGCAAAAAAGTCAGTTTTCAACTGTCAATATTTCCGAAACAGTTGAAGATAAGTATATGACATTGTATATGAAAAATGTCTAGAATTTTCCGCAGAATCCAGAAATATCATAAGGGCGTTTTCACACGGCGCTATATATCGCGAGCAATAATTGGTCGCTATATCGCGGTGCACCAAAATTGTAGGTTTTTAAATGAACCGCTTTCACACGACGGCCATACCATAAAAATGATGGTAGCAATAGCGCTATATCGCATTTACACGCAATATGTTCTACATATATCGCGCAATATTTTATCGTTGCGATTTAACTCGTCTGTGCAAGTATATGTCTGTCTTCACACGCAAAACTATAAATCGCTCAGACTTCAGTCGACAACGTTGCAAGATGGCGAAAAGGGTTCAGTGCGCGTTTGATCCTCTGGACCTAATTGAATTAATTGAACAAAGACCATGCATCTGGGACAAAACAACTGAGGAATATAAGGATGAAATTAAACGGGGGAAAACTTGGACGGAAATTTACACGTTTATAATGGACTGAACGGCAGCATCGCGAATTTAATCAAAT